TGGCAGCTTTAATTCCTTTCTTGCATGATGACAACACTGATTCCTAATACAGGCAACTAAATATTCACTATTTAACATCTCACTACATCACTCCAGTAAAAAGGTTTTCTTCTCACATATTTCCTCTGTTTCTTTTGCTCCATTACACAAACTCCACTGGTAACTGACTGTCACACAAAGCTGCACAAGCTTTAGTTACTCGTCTTTACTCTTAGCTCAGTCACAGAAATGCCTCGAGATTTAAGAGTTGCTTTGTCTCTTGGCTATTTGGGGACCCCTTTTGGAGACCAGGGGTACCCACAGAAGTGGTGCCAGCCCAAAGACCTGTGTGTGTCCCCAGGAGGCACACGGGGGGCACAGAGCTTGCCCATCTATCGTAAAAGCAGGCAACCTGACAAGGACAGAGAATGATGCATCTGACTGCATCTTATCAGAAGGCTAATTTATTACTTTATTATACTATATCATATTAAAGAATGCTATACTATACTGTACTAAAGAATACAGAGAGGATACTTACTGAATGCTAAAAAGATAATAATGAAAACTTGTGACTCTTTCCAGAGTCTCGACACAGCTTGGCCCTGATTGGCCAATGAGTCAAAACAACACCAGAAACCAATGAAACAATCACCTGTGGGTAAACAATCTCCAAACACCTTCCACATGAGCAAAACACAGGAGAAGCAAATGAGATGAGAATTGGTTTCTGTTGGGAAGGATGAAAATTTGACAAGAAAGTCTCACAGATATGTGTGCTTAGCAGAAAGATTTTTGAATGTAGAGTCTGATGAAGGAATAGAGATGGAAGCAAGTTTTGATATAGAAGAAAAGAATTGCTGAGCCAGTCTCACTGGATAACCAAGGAGGAAAAGGGTGTGTTAGTTAGAAGGGGTTTTTATGGCTCAGAGCAAAGGATAAACCCACCTCAAACAAGAAGATGTTTTTACCAAGCAGAAAGACAGCACAGGCAAACAAGCCTGCCAATGTTGCAAGTAGAAAAAAGGTCTCAGAATTTTCCACTGCAAGAAAACTGAAAAACAACTTCTAGCTTAAACTGTAATGTACTAACTTTTAGTGGTTGGAGAACAGTAACATGAATATGGTAATTATAGTAGTTATGATAGACTGTAGGTAAAAGTTAAGGTATAGATTGGTTCTGCTGTATTAAGATGCTCAGCAAAGGAAAGTATAGAATGCATTGTAACCAAAACCAAAGGGTCTCCAGGCCTGCCTGCAGCTGGAGCTGACAGGCTCTGTCACCCACGGCCCTGGACTGCTGTAACATCTTTGATGGAATAAATGCATTTTGAAGAGCTGCCTGGAGTCCTGTGTCTCTCATTTTGGCTCTTACAGTTTTCCTTTTCTCTGAGGCCTCTCACTGCCTTTCAGGCAGGAGAAAAACCCTGGGTGAAGGGATCCTGTTCAGAGGATGTGAATGCCACAGCAGTCAGTGCTGCTGGAGCCATGGGCTGGGCAAGAGTGTCCTTGGCCAGGCACCACCAGGGACAGCCCTGAGCCTCTGCCCCCCTTCTGCTGAGCTGCTGTGTTCAAACCCCATTTGCCCACGTGTTTTGGGGTTATTCAACCTCCTATCAGAGCCCCACACACTTGTTTTGGTGAAGGATGATTTCAAATCAAAGTTTCTCCATGGAGGTGTTTATTCCCCAATGCTTTCCCAAAATTTCACTCTGTTGTTTGAGCGTCAGGTTGCACCTTGTTGTGGTGTAAAGAAACTAAAAATAAACAGCAGAAAAACTGTGGGAGTATTTCAAGACAAAGGAGCTCGGTGCCTTTCCTGTGACCTTTCCAGAAAAAGAACAAATCTTCTGTGTTCAAGGTTAGAAAAGCTCCCTATTAGCACAAGGCTTACCCAGAATATTGCTGCCTGAAAGATTAAACTTCTGTAAATATAAGCACTGCAAAAAAAAAAGCATTACAATGAAATCTGACAGCCAGACTAGCCACAATGTACCCACACCAGCTTCACAGCTGTCTGCCAAGCTTCCTGGGAGAAATATGTTTTCAGGAATGTGCTTTAATTCATTATCCTTTAAAATGATGAAGTGATAGAACAGGAAAACACACATTAGCTGCCTCAGTGTCTTTGCAAAATAGGTGTCTGGCAGTTCAGTGCTGTGTTATTCCAGTGTGGGTGTCAGTGCTGTCACCCAGACCAACACTGAGCAGACATGCTTCTGTGCAAATAAATAGAAAAATATAGAAGCAGCTATTACTGGAAGGAAATGACTTTGTGGCACTTTTCTTAAAAATATTCCGCTTCATTGGAGTGACACATTGTGCTCCTCTACTTTGATGTTTATTCCTGGCTGGTATTAAACATAGAGGCTGAATCCATTCATTTCAGCATTCAGACAAATTATTAATTCATACTATGCATATTAAAGCAGCACAACTGTACTGTGTAAAAAAATGATGAAAATATCTATACTCACAAACAATTAAAAGGCAGCACACCACACTTCCAAATGCCAAAAAATAAGAAACAATTTCTGATGGCTAAAAAATAAGTACGCAGTAATTCCAAGAAGCTCCTTTTTTGAAATTAAAAGGATTAATTCTACAATTAAATTGTAGAATTAAACTTTAAAGACATGTCCTCTGCCAATACATCTCCTGAAATTTCCTTTTGACTTTGCAACAAGGACAACTGCCCAAGGCCTTGCTGATCAATTCCTTGTGTTGCAGAAAACAGCGTAATTTGAATTTTGTCCAAGAATACAGTTTGAAATGCAGAAAATGTGAAGAGCTAACTAACATGCAATTATTTGCAGCCACAGTCTGCATACCAAGGGAGAAGAAAGCTGAAGAAATAATTTAGCAGTTATTGCCATTTTAATACAGAGAGCCACCCATCATGGCTGAAGGCTGCAATAACCACGACTGAACCCAGCTACCCCTCTATTAGCATGCTTCAAAACAGAACAAAACAAAACAAACCCAACAAATTTTCTTTTCTCCATAAATGTGGATCTTAAAGGAATAAAAGAGGGTTTGTTTTCTTTTATTTTGCTTCAGAAATTCTTGCTATATATGAATATCTGAACAATTTGCAATGTTCTCTTACAGTGAGCATATGCCACATCCTGAAACATTCCCAAAAATGTTTTCACCTCTCCACCCTGGGTTTTCCTTTCTAGAAAAAGATGTGCTGTGATGTAGGGAACACCTGGCTGTCTGCTGCTCTCTCTTCTCCACACAGGCATCTTAAGAACCACAAACTCAGTATTTTCCTGTACCCCAAACTCACAGGTCTGCAATCACTGGCATGCAGAGAGGAGGATGCAGAGGAAGCACATCCAGCCCATCCCTTTCTATTCCCATGGCTCTCCTGCCACACTGCCCACATCAAGCACTCCTCCACAGACTGAACACAAGGTCTGGGCTGTAAAAGCCCCCCTAACTCTGCTTCTTTCAGAGCTCCAGAGTGTGCAGTCCTTTCAGTGGATAAAAGTTGAGAATAAACTTATTTTCTCATTACTGTTTTTCAGAAATTTAACTTTTTCTCTCTTTTTTTTTTTTTTTGCTTGGGGTTTTTTGAGAGTTTTTTTTTGGGTTTTTTTTGTTTGTTTGTTTGTTTTTTTGGTTTTTGTGGTTTTTTTTTTTTTTTTTTTGTCATTAAAGGCATTTTTCTGTCATTCTGAGAGGAACTGAGGAAGCCCTCCCTCCTCAGGGCTCTTTCAGCTCTCACAGTCCATCTGAGCAGAGTTGGCACAGGGCTTCCACAGACCAAGGCTGATTTCCACTGAAAGAACTGCATTTTGCAAAACATCTCTGGCTTACAAGGCAGGGAAATTTGAAAGAAGGCTTTGCTTGCTCAGTGACCCTTAGGCTGTCTTTTCCATGTTTAGAATTAATTTAACACTTCCCCATCCATCTCTGCCTAGAACTCAGCTAAGCTTCAGGTAAGTGAAGTCCTACCACCACCAGTAATTTTCCAGGAAAAATCATTATGAATTACTCCTTAAGTTTCTGATATAGTTTTATTTTCCCTTCTTCTAAAACCAGACATGTTTTTTCTGACTTTCAAACCACCAAGCCAGGAATAACCACAAAAATGATAGCAGAGAAATCAGATAAGCAACAGAGTTACAACTTTGAATGCCTAAAGGACCCACAAATTTCCTTTGGTTAGCAGCTGAAATGTTATTTACATTATGGAAAAAGAAAATTAATTACAGCTGTCAGTAAATTAATTATTTTAATTTTGAAGAATTTGTGATATTCTAGACTATGGAAACAAAATATATAGGGCTTATAGTTCATCCAAGTAGTACAGCATAGCTATCACTCAAACATTTCAGGCCTTATACCAGCAGAATTGAGAAAGACAAAAATATTATTCATGCAGAAGAATTGCTTCCCCCATGTTTGATTCTTTGGTTATCATTTAAAAATGACTCATTACATTTTTCCCTTTTGAAGTCTGGTAAAAAATTTGCTGTAATCCAGAACTTAGTATCAACCTAATGGTGATTTTTTACAAATGATTTATACCTAGCCCTCAGAAGAAAAGGATTTATAATGAAAGTGATAGCTCAAGCCTAACTGCAGCACTGGGAATGGTGACACCATAATTAATGTATTATTTCAGTTGTGGGAGACACTGACAGTAGCTTTTTGTTCTGGGAAAGAAATTTATAGGGTGATGGAAAAAGGCACTATGGAAAAAAAAATCACAGAAGAGGAATAGAAATCCTTGTAGCAAAGACATGTCCTTACAATCCCCCTCCCAGAGGCTATAAAACCCTGGCAGTGACAGTGTTTCCTCACAGTCTAATTTATACCTTTCTCCTCTACTAGATGGCAGTGTGACATGCTCTCAGAATTGCTAAGTGAGGGGGTTTCTTGCTTTCTTTCATAGGAAGCAATTAATTTCAAATATCATCTTGCTGGCATAAAAGTAAAAAAAAAAAATAAAAAAAAAAAGAAAAGTTTGCCACTGGCTGTGTATTTTGAAATCAAATCTGTTTACTTACAGGTTCAACATCAAAGGCAAACAGTGCATATTCCCTGTCAGGTGACACCTCGTACCGGATAGCCTTTAAGGAGACCTGGAAAATAAACACAGTTTTGAAACAAATATTCATCAGTTTTCAAGCTAATGACACCTAGAACTAATGGTTATGATCATCTGTCTAAGGATGAAGAATACTGCCAGAATTAAGTGTCTTCAAAAATACAGAATCTTCTTTTTCAAACCCCTGAAATGTTATGTGGGCACTCGTAAGAGAAAGAATGAATGCATTGTGACTCAGAGCAGGCAGCTATATATTAAAAAACCCAGAATTTTCCTTACTGCACAGTGGCTGGTGAGGTGGCAGGTGTAGGGAGTAGTTAGTAGAAAGCTCTGATAAATGGCAATTTATTAATTTCCTCTCATTATCTGTATTCACTGGCCAGTGCAGAAGATAAATGTAAATAGCTTCTGGAGCAAATTAGTAATAAAGACACCACTACCTCCCTCAATTAAGATAACCCAGAGGAAAACTATTCTGTTTTCCCCAGTCAAAAGTTTTTGGGATGCTGCAGTGATCCAGTGCACCCTGACCTGGGCTCTGCAAAAATCAGCACTGTAAATCCTGCTAACAAGAAGAGGTGCCAGGCTATCTCAGACCTGCCAGGAATTACCTCCTTTTTCCAGCTCCACTTTTCATTTGTGTAGTGAAGCCATTTCTCCTCCCCAGCATGTTTCAATATAATGCATTGCTGGCACAGATGGCACCAAGGTCAAAGAGAGGTGCCACTAACACATCACTCATGCACTGCCTTTTAAATCTCACCCTCTCACCCAACAAATTAGATCTCAGTCCTTGAGAGAGTCCCACAGGGCAAAACTGGAAGGGGAATTGGGGAAAGTCCTCCCCAAGGGCAGCAAGGATGGATGTGCTGTGGGGATGGCCAGAAGCAGAGGGGACAGGTGGCACCATCACAGAATGGTTTGGGTGGGAAGGGACCTTTAAAGGCTGTCCAGCCCAACCCCCTGCAATGAGCAGGGACTGTTGGGGTCTCTCACTGGTCAGAATGACCCCAAGAAATGTTAGAAAGTCTCTTTTCTCAGCCTGGCACTTGAAGGAGGAGTCAGGGCTCTTCATTTCTCGGTCTCAAGGTTGTTTATTGTATCTTATCTGTAAAATTTTTTCTCTTGTCTAGCTGAGATCTGCTCAGCAAGACAGTCTGAGGCATTCTCTCTGCCCCTGGGGTGGTGTTATGTCTTTATATTAAAACTACCTGTACAATGTTTACAATCACTTTCCAATACCTATCACCTATGTTAGACAGTGAGCTGCTACTCTAAACCAATCTAAAAGTGTCAACATCACAGCAGAAGATGGAGGCCAAGAAGAAGAAGAAAAGCTGGACACGCCCAGATCCCTCCATCTTGCTCTCTGAATCTTCATTCTAAAAAAACCCAAAATCTATTTTTTCACCTTGTGATAAATTCACGATCATTCTACTTAATTTATCTTAGCTTGCAGATTTTCATCTAAAGTTAGTAACTTGCTCCACAAGTCATAATCAAAACTACAAGCATTTTAAGCTCTGTGTCAAAGTCTCTGAGACCCCTAACAAAGTCTTAGCTGCTCAAGACTGCCAAGAAGATGTCTTGAGTCCTGACAAGGGACAACTTCAGCCAGACCAAGCTGCTCAGAGTCCCATCCAAGCTGATCTGAGCATTTCCAGGGAAGAGGCACCCAGCACCTCTCTGGGACATCTCACAGGCTGCTGACCCAGAGCAGCTCGGGATGGGGAGGGATGGGGGGCCCTGGGCACCAGCAGGGTCAGCATTAAGACAGATTTCATTTACAGAAGACAGATTTTATTTAATTTTATGTTAATAACATGGGGAAGGAAAACATGACCAATTAGAGAAGTTTTCTGCCCCAGGGCTGGGAAGGAAGAGGAAAAAGATGTGTCTGAGTAAATGTAATGGTGGCTCTTGCACTGGGGCTTTGTGCATTAATGTGGAGGTGATCTGCAGATGTATTTACTGAGAGGGCAGAGGAACAGAGGTAGAGCAGGAAGTAGGGTGGAAAATGGCATGAAAACGTAGGATTTTCTTGTAGCACTCTGCTTTTCTTACAAATGGCAATAATTAAAAACCAGTGGAATAAACAAGAGGCCAAATGGAAGTAATTTGACTTCAGCAGACCTTGACATTAAAGGAAGCCAGCCCATTCCCTTAGAATTGTAAAGAAAGGGGTTACACTCTGGTAAAAGAAGATTGCTTATGTGATGCTGTAAAGTTTGAAGGTTAAATGCAGCATGTGAAGTTTAAATTTGGGCCCCGACATAATAATTCAGTAATAAATTCTTTGTCTCATTAAAAAATAATTAATACAATTGATGTACTAACCTCTGCCACAATGCTGGTTTCATCTACTACACAAAACAATGCTACAAAACACTTCTATCACTGTAAGCAATCCTCTGTATCAGATGTGACTTTGTTTTCTTTACATTCATTTTAATAACCACCTACTAACTTCTTCCCACAATTAGGGTTTCTCTCAAATAAAACTCCACTTCTTTTCCTTAACACTGCTCATAAAAACCACTGAAATCACATTCCAACTATTAGGCAAGAAAAATCAGCAAATGCACAAATAGAAAATAAGTATTTGCATGGAGGGATGTAGAGAATGGCAATAGACAGTAAGTTATATCAATTGTCCTTTTTATTAAGCATTCAGAGATAAGAATTATTCCTCTTTCAATTATATATGATATGCAAGACAAGCTACAAATCTCTATATGATACTTTCCAGAAGTATGAGAGAAACTGAGAATAATAACAAAAGCTGGAGTTCAATCTCACATTATCCATCACTGCATAGCCCATTGTAGCACCAGGGAATTGCTTCTCCTTGACAATACATGGAGTTGAAACCCAAGTCATTTTCTGCTTTACTGATCCAACTGCAAGAGAGCTGTGAAATTCAGCTACTTGTCATAGAAAATACTCACAATTTTTTTGTTTTCTATTAATATTGTTGAACTGTTGGTTTCGACATTCCTCAGAATCACTGTGCCATTCTGGTTTCTATAAATGAATTCATTATCTGCAAGGAGGAAAACAAAAAGTCATTAAGGAAATCTGAAATTGTGTTTGTGTGGAACCTAATTATGGACTTAAAACCAAAAGTACTGCTGGGAACTTTTTTTCTGAAGAACTCAAATTATTTTTTTAACACAGCTATTGCTAAAAGTGGCTTTGAGGACAGCCATGAAACAATGTGGTTGGTGTTTGACATATGTTTGTGGTGCCACACTTTCCCTTAGATGAATGCAAGACTGACCTGGTTTGAATGTACATACACAGCATGCTGTATAGTTAGTGTAGAAAACAAGGTCAAAAAAACCCATTCTTTATGATTAAAGGTTTCTCAGTTCCACAGTCTCTGTAGGAGTTTAATAAGCCTGGAAAATCTCTGGAAGTGAAAGGCAGATCATCCCCTAACAAAGCAGATTCTGGAACCTAATATTGTGCTCCAACTCTGACATTTGTGCTGCAGACTTATACCAGCAGGAGAAACATGCAGAGAAGTCACCATTTGCACATGAAACAAGGCAGATCACCTTGTCTCTGTGCACTTTGGGACTACTCCAGCTCTCCAGACAGGTGGTCAAGAACAAAAATGCTGGAGACAGTGTCCAGCTCTCAAAGCACACAGCCTGCCTGACAGAAAGGCTGGGCCAGACATATGAAAGGGACTCCAAATGAGGGTTAGGTAGCAGGGCAAAAGTTCAGGATGAAAAACATTACAACAATAAAGGGATGTCATAAACTGAAGTTCAAGTCTGATCAGTGCTTACATGCTCTGCCCTGCAGATAAAACATAAAACCTAAGTCCCAAGCACTCTGCCATTAAAGGAATCAGTAGTTTTTCTTGGCACAGGACTAGGGTTATGGTTTATTTGCAGCTTGGCTAAACTGAGAACTGATGGATCCTACCAAACCTCTGCTTGCAGTTCCAGTTAGGGAAACAATTCCTCACCACCTACCATTATGGTGGCTGCCCCAGGAATGTCACCATGATGCAGCAAGAGCTAGGGACACGTGGATGGTTTAACATTACCCATGGGGCGTCCTGGGATGAGTCAAAGCTGAGTTTAAACCCTCCAGGGCAGGTCCAAGCACAAACCCAGCTCACTGTAACTGCAGAGGTGTGCACTGCCCAGTTGGGGTCACCTGCTAAAGGCAGCACTGGGTTTGGAGACTTGGTTCTTTCAAAACCTGGGTGTACAGACTTAGCATAGCCCTTGTCCATGTTCCAGTCTTTTATTTCCAACCTGTGATGGTGATCCTCATCACAGTCACCAACCAGCTTTATAAAATGCTCTGAAGATGCAGATGGAAATCTTCTACACACTACTTATTGCTGTCAATATAAGTTTCCTCCTCCATATCACAGATTTATACATAAGTAGAAGAGGAAGAAATCTGCTCTGAGATTGGGATGAATCAGATTCTTGAAAGGCAAATGGTTGCTGCAACACAGTTGATCCTCTCAAAACCACAAGGTTTTAGAGACTTTAAGATTCTCAGAGTCCAAATCAGAGCAATAGCCCTTTAGACTCATAGGCATAGTTCTCAAAGCATAACTTTATTTTAAATTATGGAATAAATTTTATCAGAAAATTCTGTCTTGAATAAAAAAAAATAAGGATTTGAATTAGATTGACTTACATTTATCTTTAAAGTATTCCTTCATACAATTTATGACTGAACAAACTAAGGAACTTAAACTTGAGAAAGAACTGATTGAACAGAGCCAGGACAGAAGTCAAAAAATTCATAAGTAGTATGGAGAAGATAAATAAGGGATGCTTATTCCCTGCCTTTTCCAAAATAAATACTGGAAGGCAGCAGATGACACCAGTCAGTGTCAGGTTCAACACAAATAAAAGGGATTTTTTCTTCATGCTGAGGGCAAACAAACTGTGGAAGTCACAGTCCCAGAAGAGAGCAGGTGCCAGGGCTGCAGGTGGATTCAAACTAGAATCAGAAAAATGGAAGAAAAATCCCTCAAAGATTAGATGTCTTGAAGGGGAATCCTTTTCAGGAAGCTCATGAACCAGCCATTGGGAGGGGCTAAAGGAATTTCCTGAATCCTCAATTTGAGAGATTTGCCTGCTTTTCAGAATCTTCCCTAAGTATTTGCCCTTGTCCTGGGCCATATGCCAGAAGAAACAATCCCTGGGGTCTGATCCAGCACTAACTTATTTACAGCTCTAACTTCCAGCTTCTGTGTCCAGGTCCTTAAGAAAATGTTTATGCCAACAATTTAGGAAGTAAGGCAAAAAAGATTTAATGCTTTTTACAAACCTGGTCTTTATATACTCAGGCCACTAAGTCTGAAGCATTGTTATAAAAGGAAAATATGCAGCCTAAATTTTTATTTTCCAGAAATATTTCAGGCATTCCAGAAAAAAAAAAACCCAGGAAAAATTAAACTGAGACACAGACTATTACCTAATTATCAGACATACTGAAAAATATTACTGCTTTAATAATCACCCTCTGACAACAACACAGAATGTTTTCCAATCCGCACTAAGTTCCAGACAGAAAAAAAATCATGTTTTAAGCATGGCCAGCAAAACATTTGGATAATTGTAAGGCTCTCAGGATGTTTCCTAATTACAGAAAAGAAAAGAGCAATGAAATTCAGTTCCAAGTTCAGAACATAGGTAAAGTAGCCTATTAATCTAATGAGTCTGTGAAGCTGTTTCTTGAACATTGCAGGAACTGATGGAATTCACATTACTGCCCATAATGACATTGCTACCAAATTTTATTGCTCCTTATGCTCCAAAAAACCCCCATAACATTTTAATAAATGATGAAACTTCAAGATTACATAAAAGTTGTGCCATGGTTGGAAGTAGGAGATAACAGACTTTCCCATTATTTGTTAAACCGTAACAAGTTTAAAATCAGGTGCTAATCTGCCACATGTACTTTTAGAATGCATAAAAAAAGAATAAATGAAGCAGTGCTGATTTGTTAGGGCTCTAAATCTTGCCATTATATTCAATACCAGCCATCAACACACTGTCTGAGTTAATGAACAGAAAATTGGTCTGCTTAAGAGAAGAACAAATTGATCTGCATTATACTCCAAACAAAACACTGCGAAGTTTAGCTGGGTCTTAGTCCTCAAAAGATGAATAATATTCCTGGACTTCTGTTTTGAAATGTATGATTTGTTCCAGTGCAAGAGCACTTTTTTAAATGGGACATACCTCAATCTAAGCCAGAAAGCAATGCAGTGGCCTCTGTCTGTAATGGATTCTGTCCAGCAAGCTGATGAGAATTTGCAGCCTGATTTATAGCTGTCACCAGAGCTGATAAAGGTCATCACTGTATCTCATTTTTTATATCTGCCTTTCTTTGGGGCTGGTGTTCAGTATAAATGATGCCGAAAATTATAATTTTCAGGCATGCAGCCATTTGTTCAATTTCTTCAATCTTTTTTGGATTTTTTCCACCTGTTCTTCACCAAAGTCATGGATATTCCATCCCTGGAAGTGTTCAAGGCCAGGATGGTTGGAGCTTTGAGCAATCTGGTCTAGTGAAAGGTGTCTAATGGGGTTGGAACTGGGTGGTCTTTAAAGCTTCTTCAACCCAAACCTCTCTCTGATCCTATGGTTCAATAACAAAGTTCACTCTTCCAACACCTCATCCCTCTTTCATCTTCCAGGAAATTGTCTGGGTGGTATATCACATTTTCTGACTGTGAATGTAGGCACAGGTGTGTAGTCACACTTGGAAAAAAGTGACTGATTGCAAAAACCAACGATTACCAGAAATAATGGATCAGCCTTGGGGCTCTACAGAGCCTGTGCAGAGGAATGGGGAGGCCTGGGGAGAAACTTTTAAAAACCTGCTAGGCAGAACAGGTGAAATCATAAACCCCATCTGCTTCTGTGTCTTGAATTCAGCCAGGAAATGCACAGGCAGAGAAAACAGAGCCAGGGAGAGGGAGCTCATGTCCCTTGATGTCACTGAGCCCTCACCAGGAGCAGCACAGACAGAACACCAGGCAAAACAGCTCACCACAGAGGACAAGAAGCTCTGGGACAACTTCACTTCTAGAAGGAGTAAGTTTGAGTGCAAAGAATTTGAAGGAACTACATCCATTGACAAAAACACAGCATCAGTGCCCAAAACTTTAGTGCAGTAAAGCTCCTCTGAAGTCCACATTACCAGGGAGGAGAGACTGGTTTATAAGATACTAGCAGGACCATGCATGTGAGGGAAACTTTCATTATTTGTCAGAGATTATGGGAATCAGAAAGCAAAACTGAGCAATAAAATATGAGAACAACAAAAAATAAATAAATAAATCCAGTTCTAAAAATATTTTAATGAAATTGTAATTTTCTATAATTTTTGTAACTGATGAATGAAAAGTGGACGATAAAGGTTCTGAAATTCAGATGCAGCAAGTCAGCAGCAAGAGATGGTGAAAGAGAGAAGGTAGAGTCAGAATTGTTAAGGCCAATCCAGTCTTTTAGATCAACAGATTTGAGGAAAAGGCATCTTCTTAAGTCCTGATCAACAGACACGAAAGAAAATTGAATGAGTCTCAGTATGATGAAAGCCAGCATCGAGGGAATTATCATTTTCAATCCCCAAGATTAAGGAAGATTGGTGAATAAAGGAAATTTGAGTCCTGAAGTTGTTCTAAGGCACTTCAGATAAACGAGGCTCCAGATAGCAGCAGGGCTGGCAAACGTTACCCTGTGTCAGAGAGCAGAGAGCAGCAGCTCCTGTGGGACCTTTGGGGGTCCTGTGGGACCTTTGTGTCCCCTCCCGAGGGACTGAGGTCCCTTTGCCCCAGGCCACGTGCAGGGATGCTGGGATGGAGCTCTGCACTGGCACAGCAGATGTCACAGGGCCACCAGGAGACCCCTGGCACCTTCTGTCATTCCTCATGGGGGAACAAAGAACGTTTTTGGGTTTTTAATGACCCAAAGCAGTCAGATCCTTGATGTTTTACATCTGAAGGAGTCTTGCAGGAGCCCTGCAGCCCTGCCCAGCATGGTGCCCAGC